GGGTTTGTGTATTTTGGTTTGGTGGTGTTTGGTTTGCTGTAGTTAGTGGTTGCGGTGTATGGCTGGGTGATGCCGGTTCTTTTTTGCTGATGGAATGGGTTTGGACCTGGGTTTCAGAAGTTCTTCTATTGCTGTGGCATTCTCTGGGTTTGGGTGAGCAGGTCCTCCTTTTCCGGCGAGCTCCTGTCCTTGCTCAGGTGGGTTCTCAGCTACTATTTTCAAGCCCCTGCTGTTGTGAGGATTTGGTGATCGGCTGGAGGGATTTGGTGTTGCTAGCTCTGCTTCGGTTATGGCTCCTTCCTTCCAAGACAGCTTCCATCTTCATTGGCCGGATTCAATTCCTGTTTTTTTCCTGTTTTTGTTGTCTATGTTTTCTTGTTGGTTGTTTTATTTTCTTTGCATTGGGTGCACTGAATCTCTCTGAGGACAGCATGGTGTAGGAGATTTATCTCCTTGTATCCAGCTTCATGCTGTTTGGAATATATGGTTGTTTTCTTCAAAAAAAAAAAAAAGAATACAGCACTTAGGTCTCTTTCACTTTCTAGTAACATATCGATCCCAATACTTTAAAGTTTAGTGCACTTAGGTGTCCATCACACGAAGAGCTAGACGGGTTCTATCGAGTGATGATTAACAGTTTAACTTGTATTAAAATTAAAATTTTAAATCGTCAGATATGATAAAGGCCTTCTAGAGAAATCAATGAAAAGCAAGGGCAAAGTCTCTAAGTCGACCCAAGCAAAGATCGACTACTGAAGAGACTGAAGATCAGTTCGAAAAAAGAATGAATATTTAAGTATTTTATTTCGTACTTTGAAAAATATGACAGTAATTATCTGACATTCTTAAATATCATTAAAATGCATTAGTAACTCATTTTCATGGGAAATTTCATGGAAAAGCATAACTATGTTACAAGGAAATTAACAAACATTAAAAAAAAAGAACTTCTTCAGCTCCATACCAACTATTATCTGAACTGGTCAAAGTCAACAGTATATAGTATCAACATTTTTTTTTTTTTGACGGATTTTGAAAGAGATTTTGTGAAAATTGAACACTAGGCTGCAAATTTAGTACACTAAACTGGAAATTTTGGAATACAAAGAAATAATGACACAAATTTTAATAAAACTACTCTCATTGTATTTGGAAAAATAAAATAAATTTTCTTTTAAACGTAACCAAACGTGCTCATATGTTAAATTAAGAATTTCACGATAGATTTGCGTGTAGTATGTTAATTTTTCTTGCATATAATTATTCCCATGGTCATTTAATAACCAAAATCTATATAATAAAAGAGTAATGCTATTCATAGTCGCTCACTGCAGCAGTCGCCATATGTGACACACACATGACATGTAGTTATTTGATGCATTAATGTGGTAAAAAAAACTACCACATTAATACATTAAATACACATTTGACATGTGTGTGCCACATATGACAACTGCAAATAGCATTATTCATAATGAAATTAGTAGTTTAGTGCTGATTCAAAGATGGTTAATGCAATATTTTATACCCAAAGATCTGGAATGTTCTGTTGCATATATTAACACAAAGATGCATTTTCTATCAGCCGTAAAGGTCTATTAGGAAAGTTGTGTTTGAATTGGATTTGGCTCCTTACAAGAACGGTGATACTCTCGTCTTTATCTTCATTGTTAAATTCATCTTCTTATCGTAATTAGATGAGAGAGATGAGAATTGCATACGTCATTTCTATGAGAGAGTGAGAAATTATGGTTGATTATGAATTAGGTTTTGGATATATTTATGGTTTGATATTTAAAATAAAATACCTGAAAAGTGAATAAAATACATACAAACCTGATTTTTAAAAACCACTATAAATCAAATGATAAAATATGATATACATGTAACATCACTCCACAATAAGGGCTCACGAATTTTTTTATTAGATGTGGTCCCTCCCTCTTTTGTGAGGGGTATGTACATCGGGGTGTCACCCAACTTTTACTATTAAGTGATGCTATGGGCACATAGTCCATAATATACTGGTGTCCATAATGAACACCCATTTAATATTTCAAGACAAGTTTTCAACTGATACTTGGATGTACAACTAGCAAAATCCAATTTTTAATATTTCAAGACTAGTTTTCAACTTTTTGGAGTCTTGAATATCTAATACTTCGTTTCCATTTTCAAAATTATCCACAATACCAACCATAAATTGGAAAATCCGAAAAAAGAATCAATCGATGGTGTGTGTTATAATGCAACTAGAAATAGTTGCACGTGTCTAGATATTGTGCGAAGTTATCAAAATATAAATATATGAAATTTATAGGTAAGAGTGATATTTTATGAAGTTGAATTTGGTAATGTTAGGCAGCAATATTATATTCATTACAAAAATATTTCACCTACTTACTTTTACGTGTAAGTCAACCAACGTGTCCACAAAAGACTTATATATTAATAATAAAATAATTTATAATAAAAAATTAGAGAAAAAAAAAACTTGGAATTGATTAAAAGTAAACATTTTCTAGAATTTTGGTTGAGTAAAGGGATAACCATTTCATTTGAGATTTTCCATGCGTCACCTTTTTGAAGTTTATTTTTCTAATTTTTTTTTTTAAATAATGACAAACCTATTTGCATCGAGCTAAAGTCCATTATTAAACATTGATAAATATGGGACATTTTTCTCCATCTATTTATTATTTCTCTAACTCCGTGGACAGACACACGCATACCCGTCAATAATTTGTTGACGAGGACATTAGCCAAAACTTAAAAAAGTAATATTTTCCGTAAAGTACATTGAACATTACGAAATTATTCATATTCATGGATAATCTATATGTAATGTTCACACATTTTTGTGAAAATTACCGGTGAAATTTTGAAACTTTAAAGATTACAGCACTTAGGTCTCTTTCAATTTCTAGTACATATTGAATCATTGATCCCAGAACTTTTAAGTTTAGTGCACTTAGGTGTCCATCACACGAAGAGCTAGACGGGTTCTATCGAGTGATGATTAACAGTTTTACTTGTATTAAAATTAAAATTTTAAATCGCCAGATATGATAAAGGCCCTTGAGAGAAATCAATGAAAAGCAAGGACAGAGCTACAAGTCGACCCAAGCAAAGATCGGCTATTGAAGGGACTGAAGATCAGCTCAAAAAAATAATGAATATTTAAGTATTTTATTTCGTACTTTGGAAAATATGACAGTAATTATCTGACATTCTTAAATATCATTAAAATGCATTAGTAACTCATTTTCATGGGAAATTTCATGGAAAGCATAACTATGTTACAAGGAAATTAACAAACATTAAAAAAAGTACTTCTTCAGCCCCATACCAACTATTTTCGAACTGGTCAAAGTCAACAGTATATAGTATCAACATTTTTTTTTTTGACGGATTTTGTCAAAATTGAACACTAGGCTACAAATTTACTAATTTAGTACACTAAACTGGAAATTTTGGAATACAAGAAATAATGACACAAATTTTAATAAAACTACTCTCATTGCATCTGGCAAAATAAAATAAATTTTCTTTTAAACGTAACCAAACGTGCTCATATGTTAAATTAAGAATTTCACGATAAATTTGCGTGTAGTATGTTAATTTTTCTTGCATATAATTATTACCATGGTCATTTAATAACCAAAATCTATATAATAAAAGAGTAATGCTATTCATAGTCGCTCACTGCAGCAGTCGTCATATGTGACACACACATGACATGTAGTTATTTGATGCATTAATGTGGTAAAAAAAACTATCACATTAATGCATTAAATACACACTTGACATGTGTGTGTCACATAAGGCAACTGCTGCAATGAGCAACTGCAAATAACATTATTCATAATGAAATTAGTAGTTTAGTGCTGATTCAAAGATGGTTAATGCAATATTTTATACCCAAAGATCTGGAATGTTCTGTTGTATATATTAACACAAAGATGCATTTTCTATAAGCCGTAAAGGTCTATTAGGAAAGTTGTGTTTGAATTGGATTTGGCTCCTTACAAGAACGGTGATACTCTCGTCTTTATCTTCATTGTTAAATTCATCTTCTTATCGTAATTAGATGAGAGATTACTCTTAACGTATGCAGTAAAGATAAATTTCTCTTTAATGATAAATTAGTTTGAAAATGACCGATACTACTACCAGTAGTCATTATAACTTATAACCCAAAAGTGTACGACACATCTTGAGTATCAAATGTGCAATTAGAGTTCGTATTTAAGATGCGTTATTGATAGTGATACGAATTGAATTACTACAAATTAGACCATTCCAATACTTAAATCTACTCGATCGTGGCATGAACCCGGGGGTAGAGTCGGAGGATAAAAATAAATAAATTATACTGAGGTGATACACAAAAAAAATCAATAAAATAAATTTTTAACTAAAAACACAGGTGGGCCTCGGGCAGGCATGTCTGCCCTCACCTCCCTCCGTCCCCACATGGAGCGATAGGTTTGAACATAGTAATATAGTAATTGTAATTGTAACATTTATAACTATCGTATGCTATATTCTTCCATTTTAACGAAGTTTTGGAAAAAAAATATATTTTGAAATAGTAATTTTTTGAAGGATGTGTGATTAAAAAGTAAGGTAAAATTTTGGGTTTACATATAATATTATTTTATTGAAAAATGTGTGGTTAAAAATAAATTTTAAAAAATTATATTTTTTGTTTAACGGCTTAAATTATATTAAACAGTACAAGAAATTATTGTCCACATTACCAAAATGTTTATTAAGTTACGTTGTGTATTTGTGCATGTATACACGATAGAAACAACAATGAAGAGTTAGGTGAGAGATTGACCGTATAAACACGCGTCTTTTCCATTATAAAAACCACCAATTGCTCATTCATTTCTTTCTCAGCTTACAGGAAAACTGCAAGCTTTAAATTCATTTCATTTTAGTCCTTATAAATTTATGTATTTAATTCAATTAGATCCCCGAAAGAATAAATCATGCAATCCCTCAATCCTCTGTGGAATAGTATTGATAAGTCCATGGTCCGGATAGCGTCGCCACCGGGTCTTGGATTGACCTACCAGCGCTCCAGCCCCATTCGACTCTCCGTCAAATGCGTCGACCCAACCAATGCTGGCGGAACTCGTCATGAATGGCAGAGCTGCTGCGCCATCCTTGCCGGTAAAGTTGCGTCCCTGCAACAGGATAGCAAGAATACCTACACGGGCGCTGCCGGAATTGCCTCCGTGAACGACCACCAGACTCTGGAACTCGTTCCTATGAATGGAGCTGGAGCTGGAGCTGGAGCTAAATCTTCCTTGGCTCTTCCCAAGCCGCTGAGCATGGCCAACGTCTCAGCGGCGCCGCTGCACGGTTCGCAGCTCCGAGTTGCATACCGGGGCTTTCCGGGTGCCTACAGCGAAACCGCCGCCGGCAAGGCGTATCCCAATTGCGAAGCCATACCGTGTGATCAATTCGAAATCGCTTTCCAAGCGGTGGAGCATTGGATCGCCGATAGAGCCGTGCTTCCAGTGGAGAATTCACACGGCGGCTCTATTCACCGGAATTACGACCTCCTCCTCCGCCACCGTCTCCACATAGTAGGTGAGGTTCAGCTCCCCGTCCAACACTGCCTCATCGCACTCCCCGGCGTCCGAATCGAACACCTCACTCGAATCATAAGCCACCCTCAAGCACTCTCCCAATGCGAAAACACACTTACTAAATTAGGCCTCAACGCCACCCGTGAAGCATTTGACGACACCGCCGGAGCGGCGGAGTACATAGCCACCAACAACCTCCGTGAGACGGCGGCAATCGCCTCTTCACGCGCCGCTGAATTGTATGGCCTCCAAATCCTGGCCGATGGAATCCAAGACGATTCATGTAATCTCACGAGATTCGTAATCTTATCACGAGAACCCATAATTCCTCGCACAGATCGGCCATTCAAAACAAGCATCGCATTCGCACAGGAAAAGGGTACAAACATTCTGTTCAAGATTCTATCCTCCTTCGCTTTTCGCAATATCAATCTGGCAAAAATCGAATCGCGGCCGCACCGGAATCAGCCAATCACGGTGGCTGACGTCGGCTCCAAGAATTTTGAATACATGTTTTATGTAGATTTTGAGGCATCAATGGCGGAGGAGAGGGCGCAAAACGCCATGGCTGAAGTTCAAGAGTTCACATCTTTCTTGAGAGTTTTAGGGAGTTATCCCATGGATATGACTCCATGGAAACCTGCCATAGAAGAATCATAATAGCTTCATCACTTTCTGTTCAAATGTACTCTTGCTATTTCACGGAAAACACAGATTAATTTGAATTGTATCATAATTTATTTTTATTTTTTTTGTATTTTATTTTTTATTTTTTTTTTATTTTTATTTGTTTTTTTTTTTTTATTTTTTTTGAATTTTATTTCTTGACAGAAAGGCGAGAATGATGCGTAAATATGAAGTTGACAACCTTGAAATTTGTGGCAAATTTTTAATTTCATAAATTTTTCTTTCTTCATTTGTGAGAATAAGAAAAATACAACTTTCTCACAATGCAAGGTTAGCAAAAGCCAAATGGGTCGAGCCGAGCAGCTACTCCAGCTTGGTTCGGCTCGTTGGACAAGCTGAGTTTGGACTGGTTCGTTGATCAAGAGGCGAGCCCTGGTTGACCCATTGGCCCCTATGCAAGCCTTCATATTTTATTAAAAATGATTTTCATAAAAAATAAAATTAAAGAAATTTTACAATTTCCATCCTCATCTTTACGAAATAAAATTAATATATCCTCAACTTTTTTTAGTATAATTCATTTATAACCTTCTATATTGTATAGCAAACGGAAATTTGTCCTCAACAAAAAATTGCTATATTG